TCTTCTGTTCTATTCAAATGGATATATTTATCATGTACTTTGTCACAAAAATATGTAGGTACAGGACAATTCCAGATAATTTTAAAGAAATAAGAAAACACTGCAAAAAAAAAAAATGGTGAAAATAGCCATGAAATTAACTTACATCACTGTGAGAACCTGTTAATATGATTACATTTTTAATTTAGTGTTACATGTACAAAACAACTGGACTGTTCTGTACAACATAGCTTAACTCATGGTTGCGAATGAGGTGAAGTTAAATATAAATTATGATGACTTACTTATTCATGAAGGTTTGCTTCAATAGCATCATTTTGAGTATGAAAATTGCTATAGTTCAAGCAAATAATTGCATTTAGGAGATACATTTAACTGCATTGATATTTCTCAGTTCAAAAAGCAAATGTTCAAATTAAAATCTCTTTAATTAAGAACAATTTTAGTTAATAAGCTTGGAAGTTTTAAACATTGTTTAATTCAGTAATAGGTTCATTTCGATGATAAAGATTTTTGACAAAATAGGTTTGCCATTTTTCTTGCAAGAGAGAGGTATAATATTGCTGTAGTTCAAATACAAACAAGTTTTGCTTTTTCCAAAAGCAGACTTTCCAATAGCAAAGTACGGGTACTTGAATGAATAACTGAGCCATACGGTAGGAGGAATTTCCTGCTCACTATTCAGTTGTCCATTGGGTAAGAACAGCATTAGGATCATGTTCAGGTGAGAAAACTTAACTGTAAATATCAAATTTAACCATATAAGTTTTACGTTGAACAAATGGTCACCTGTGGCTTCTGGTAACTTCTAATCAGTTCCTATGGAATTATACCTTACAAGGGTTGGCACTTTCAAAAGAGACTAGATTATGAATCATTAACAGACAATATCACAAAACATAATGGATGCATAAATAATGTGAAGCGGGATTACAAATTATTCAACTTTTTTGCATGCTGGATTGCACAACAGGTGGTTACTGGGGCACATATATAAATTCTAACAGAAACCACCATTTGCAATGAATAGGTAGAAACTAAAAGTTAAAATCATGGGTCATTTTTGTGTTGATTTTCTGTGTTATACTAACCCGTTCTGAAGATGATCCAAAGTAAATTAAACAGTTTTCTGGGTACTGTGTTAATAATTACTCGTCAGTTCAAAACTGAGTGATGCATCAGAATAGAATATGCAGCAGAATCCAAGATGTAAAAGGATAACTAAAATTACTTGTACACATACACAATATAAAAAGTAAGCTGCATGCTCCATTTCAAAACATTGACAAGAGAATTAGATACATCAAAAAGGCTAATGTGGGACATGCATTATTATTTTTGAAACTAACAGAAACTGAAGTCAAAGCTTCAAGTATATAGCATTTATATTCACTAGATTCTTGCCAGTCTGCATAACTTATTCTTTACAAATAATGGAAAGATAGAAATATTCTACCAACCGCATACATGATGCAATTAGAAATAATTCATCAGGCTAAGTAAACACTGAAGTACTGCAGTTGCCAACATAACATTCAAGTCATGGTTGTACAAACAAGCTCCAATGACCTGACCAATGAGCTTCCAAAGATATATTCACTACCTGCTAATAAGTAAAAGGAGATCATACCATTGGAAGTATTTTAAGCACCACATTTATTTAAATATAAATAAAAATGTTTTAGGAAATGTTAACTCATCCTGAAACCTGGGAAAATGCAGCCAAAGATTCCAGGACAATGGTGTGAAATGTGGTGCAATACATTCCAAGGTTTACAGAAGACATGCAACACACATAACTATCAGTACCCTTCATTCTTTGGCCAACGGAGCAATTTAAACATTGTTGATTATAGCATGTCATAAGCATGTTCACTTTACAATGACATTTGTGTGAAAATAATTGAATAAACAGATTTCAACTTGGACAACAGTGGCCTCAGCCTTCTGGGATGGTGATGAAATAGGCTAAAAAGACCAACACAGTAGAAGGAACAACAATGGTCCACTTGAATGCATTCCCCAAACACACAGCATTATGCCTACAGGTCGGCAATAAAAACTGGCTGAAGCCAATTTTCATTCCTAATGAGTTTGAACCCTATCACCTCATTTGTGCTAAAATCCTTTAGGGGCTTGAGCTGTTAACAAGTTAAAACTTGTTTAAAAAAAAACACTAGTAATACGAGTACAAAATTGGCTGAGAGACAAGATACAAAAATAGTAATTATTAAATGTTTTCCGATTGGAGAAAGCTTTGAGCATTGCACAGGGATTGTTGCTAGGATCTCTCCTCTTCTAGAAATATATTAAGTGAGGTAAACTTTTTGGGGAAGATTAGCAAATGGATGTGAAAGCTGCAAGTACTACGAATGGCGGAGTATAATGTAGGCCTTCAAGAAGGACACAGACAAGTAGGTGGAATGGATGGAGAAATGGCAAATTAAATTCAATGTGGAGAAGCACAAAGCCATTCATTTTGGTAGGAAGAGCATACTGAAACAGTATAAACTAAAGGGTACTGTAGACTTGGTTGTATATGCGCACCAGTCATTGCAGGTGGCAGGGCAGGTTGAGAGCAGTTAAAGCATTAGTAGCCTAGGCTTTATTTATTAAGGTGCAGTACAAAAATACAGATAATGTTGAACTTGTATAATACATCCGTGAAGGCATGTTCTGAGTGCTGTAACTTAGGAAACACCTGAAGGCATTGGAAAGAATACAGAAAGGATTCTTTCACAAGAAAAGTTCTTCATCCTTGGAACCACAAAATAAAATAGATCTATTTTCCTTGGAGAAGGCCAACAGAAAATTTGATAGTATTCAAAATTATAAGGGGCATAATGGGTAGGAGAATACTTCCCACGGGTGGAAGAACTGGGAACTAAGAGGGTACAGATTGAAGGTAAAAGGCAAAAGAAACAATAATGACATGAGGAAATACCTCCACCACAGAATCAGGGTGTAAGTTCAACTGAGGCAATCAAAGGCAACTGAACTGTTGTCTGAGAAAGCAAGAATGTACAATTTACGGGAGAAAATAGGGGAACGGGCGCTAGGCGAATTGCTTTCACAGGAAAATCAGTGCAAACTATAAATGGGCCGAATGGCCTCTTGCGCAGTCGTAATTCTGCGATTCTATCAGCGCGGATAGTGGTACAGCCAAGTCTACAAAACAAGTTTCCTCTTCAACCTCTCTGACTGTCTTTCACACGCATGCAAATTTCAATTTCTCACATTATAGCTGTCTTTTTTTTTGTTGTTCTGCGCTTGTTTCACACTCCTCCTCACCCTCGCTTTTACTTCTGTTGATTTCAGTTTCCAAGCCAAGGCCATTCCAGTAAGGAACCGCATCATGAGTTGTGTTAGGGGCTTAAAAATATTTCTAGACCCCCGCCACCCCCAAGCATGCAGGGAACAGGAAACTGACATTGGTAAAACAATCCCAAACAATATTTGACAAGAACCAATGTCAACGGTTTCGCCAAAGCAAGGACCTTTAGAAAGGAAACAAATCAGGCTCAAATGATCTATCAATGGTGTGTAATAACAGTATACATGTCCATAACAGTTTAAGAGCTACCAGAGGTCTCTGGACAGTTTCTTGGCACAAGTCCATTGCATGGGGCTGGGAGGGAATAAAATGTTGCAAACCAATGTTTTGACAGGGCTTCAAACAGGAAGTGTGTAAGACACTGGGGACTATTCTCGTTAGAGTTGCTGAGTGCCAGGGCCCTAGGAAATACATTCATCTATCCTAATTGTTGAATTCACATTCCCACGTTGGTAACCACTATTTCACGACAGCCTTGGAAATCTCAAATCCTCTAGGGATTGACTGAGACAAGAGGGCCACTTGACAATTACACAATGCGCATCATGATGTACTTTAGCTTCTGGGGGCACTGGGTCACACAATGTTGGCTCAGTAATGAACTTTGGATGGTGTTGCTGGAGGCGGAGCAGAGAAATTACCGCCCGATTCACGCTGCTGTAGTAATTACAGCACACTCGGGGGTCCCTGGTCAGATTGAAATAAAGCCATTGTTTCGTCAGTGCCTTTTCTATACTGAAACTCGTGATTCAACAGTTCGAACTAAAAGATTTAACTCACCCAAAATTACAGCTTTGTGAAAAATAAATTAATGCAATACTATTCGAACATTTTGGGGGCGAGTATTTATGAGCTTTCCTTTTCACAAATGGGGACCTATTTCTGACCCTTTCTGAATCAGAAACACGTTTCACTGTTTGCACAATGACCGCGGCCTACTCTGCCCAGGCACACCATTACTCAGCAGCTTGTTTACTCTTCATGTTCATTTTAACTTCTTAGCGACACCAGGCACCAGCTCCATTTTGTTTGAGCAGCTTTTTTTGTCATGTACAGTACAGAGCTCTCTACCGAACAAAAACACTACGCCTCAGGGCTATTTGTAATCCTAAACTATTTCGGGAAGCTTCAACCACCCACAGCTCAAACAACATAGGCACTAAATATTCACAAATAGAAAGGAATACCAGTCGTCATTTTGTTGCATCAGCCGGCCGTGACTTGTACGTTCTATCGAAAGGCAACAATAAAAAAAAACAAGCATTTCCATTCTAAAGAACATCTTAATTTCTGTTTAGAGCTAGTTTCCCGGTAAAATAAATCAGTTTCTTAAGGTCTTAATCTTTAAGAAATATTTGAGAACGAGCACACAAAGGCAACAGAATCATAATTACTTCAATTTTTTGTAGACTAGGTTAAATGCTCCATGTAATCTTAGCACTCTAAATGTGAATTAAGTGACCCTGCTTTTAAGAATAATATGAAATATATAAGACGAGGAACAATGCAAATTAAAAGATATTATTAGCAAGCGATGCAAAAATACAAATAATATTTAAAGCTCCAAATTTGTTTTAAACTAATGAGAATTTTCAAAATTGGCAGTGGAAAATGTTTCAAACACGGTACATCGTCGGATTCGGTTTATAATAAAAGTGGTACAGACCTTCGTTTTAATCCAGATTTAAAATGTCACACGACAGTTGTCGGCCACACCACCTGCCAGTAATACATTTTGAGACGAAGCTCAGAGATGTGTTTTCTAAAAATACATCTGCATACTGAAGTAGCTTATGTGCTATATAAAATGTGTTAAAAAGTCAATGTCAATCCAGGGTAAAGAATCAATTTTAATTTGGGTGAAAAAGAAAAAGCAAGGCAAAGGTTCCATTTTGAAATATGTTTGGCGGCTTCCTATTACAGATCCCATCAGTTAAAAATCTCTGATGCGAGCAAATATTAAAGGATTTTCATAATGGGTTTAAGCTCATGAAATTACTTAATTTTTTTAAAAAAGAACGAGGTCAAAACTGAAAAGAAAGTGAGTTGGACATTCCTTTTAATAGTTTTGACAATTGTTCGCGGTTTCAGAATCTCGTACTGAAACGGCTAAAAGGGTTCGAATACATAAATTACAAGCAATTCTGGCAGGGATCAAACACTTTCAGTTAAGGACAACGCCTAACTGCTATGGAAACATTAAGAATCGCTCTACCCAGTTTGTAAAAATTGTCGTAATGGGTTAGGCAGATCATTGTTATTGAAAAAGTAAAAAAAATCATCTGCTTGAGATTCTGATGTTGTTTCTCCTGAATGCAAAACGAATTTAAAAATTAAGATTACCACAAATCTTCAAAGTGAAAAAGCGCTATCAAACAATCCATATGCTACCATTAAATCGGTTTTCATAAGTTATATAAAAACATACAAAAAAATCAATTGCGCTCCATTCTCTTTACAAAGATTTCATGTCAATGTAACTGCAGACAACGCTGGTGTGCCATGACCTAGTTTCAACCCCAAGATGCATTCCAAAGAAAAAAATCTTCAGGCTTTAGCAGTTCGAAATCTTGCATCCAAATTCATCATCATCAGCTCTTCAAATGTGGCCAGAGATTACAGAACCTAAATTAGATCCATTTTTAATTAAAAGGAGAAAACCCACTGTGCTTTGAAACTGTGAAGAGAGATCTTTCCATTTGTGATAAAGGAGAGCGCCAGTCCTTGCCCTTGTTGTTGCTGAACGGGGGAACACACACTCACAAAGACACACTCAGAAACACACACAGAACCCAGTCTGAGCCTCTCCTCTTGCTCAAGGAGCTTTCACTTCAAGCTTCCAAAAAAACCCCACAAGGCTCAAGCAAGCCCCGCTCTGATTGGCTCCCGTTAGCAGCCACCTTTTAAACAGGCGAAATCGGCCAACCATTCAAAACCACTCGGAACTTAACGATCGTGCGAGACACCGGGGGGGGGTGGGGGAGAAAAAATTTTCCGAGCCATTACCGTTTGGGCCGGGGGTGGTGTGTGTGTGTGTGTGTGTTTGTGGGTGGGGGGAGGGAGGGTCGGTACAAAAAAAAGCCAAAAAAAACTAAACAACAACAAACAGAGGCGGCGGAGGGCGCCGTGGGGGGAGGAGGAGGAGGAGCAATGGCGAAATGGAAGTTAATGCTCAATGGGAGTCCTCAAACTTGAACCACCTCGACCCATCTTGTTTGGCGACCCAGTTTGACGCTGCGTAAACCTAACATGGATTCCCAGCCCTGATTCAAAATTACCGTCCGTCGAGCCGAGGCCCAGGTCGGCGGAGAAAGAGAGACAGAACAAAAATATATATAAATAAATGAGTTCCTTTCCCCGCCCCATTCCCCCGACAGGCGGGAGCCCGGGCTGCGTCTGGGATCGGGGCGAGGCCGGGGATCCGGGGCCTTCTCTGGGTCTGAGGGAGGAGGAGTGGGGGAGGGAGGGAGGAGGAGTGGGGGAGGGAGGGAGGTAGACGCACGGAAACGTTGAATGTGCGGAGGGAATGGAAGACTAGCTGGTGGCCCCCAGACTGGGCGGGTGGATTGTGGGATACGTACATACACTGAGCAGAAGCACACAATATGTGTTGGCTCGCGAAAAAAAAGGAGGCAGGAGCCGTACAATGTAACCTAATCAGCGAAATGTAATTGTTTTCCCCAGATCACGCCGTTCGCTCCGAAACCGACAGAAATCGACGACAATGTCTTTCAAGGAGCTGAAACCCGGGGAGAAGCCGAGGCACCACGAAGATCATGGCAAGAAACAGAGTTCAAGTGAGTGTTTTTTTCTCTCTCTCTCTCTTTCAACCCCCTCTCTCTCTCTTTTTCTCTAATGGTCCAGCGAGCTTAGATTCCCCATTTCGTGTGCAATGTATTCGTGGAAGGGAAAAGAGAGAGGAATTTTTTTTAATGTTGAGAACTGAAGCATTTGTCAGCCTAGCTTAAAATCATTTTGTGTTCCTCCCCCCTACCCTCCCCAACATTTGCAGGTTTGATCAATGGGATGGAGCACAGCCACGCAGGAGGGAGTTCAGCAGAGAGAAAAAGTCACCATTGGCGAAGTTATAAGTTGATTATTGACCCAGCGTTGAAGAAGGGACAACACAAACTCTACCGCTACGATGGCCAACATTTAAGTCTCCCTGTGAGTGATATTGTGGAAGTGCAGCCATTAATTCCACGTCTGTCGTGTTTGTCACAGGATGCTGCCATTGTTACAATGTTGTAAGCGAATAAAGTTACATTGTGGTTCCTCCTGTCAGGAGCTCTTAAACTGACAGTCCGGTTACTCGTTAACATGTTCTCCAGTTTGCTGCATGTTCCCTAAACCTTCAAAAATAAATCATGTCAATCGTTCTTATTGCAGAATTCCGGTGTTCCACCGGTTGATACTGTCAGAGACCCCCGACTTGGACGCATGTGGACCAAAAGCAAAGAGCTGGATTTACCTGTTCCAAAATTTAAGGTAAAGGAGGAGGGGAACTGAAATACTTTCTCCATTTCATCTCATTAGTAGAATTTCCTTTTTGTAGTGTGTTACTCTAGCACTTTACTCTTTGTAACTCCAAAACATAAGCAATGAAATGTCCAAGACAACCGTTTTTTTTTGTTTAGCAATCGCTAGTTAAGTTTGTTTGAATGTGCTCCTGGTGCCAACAGATCGACGAGCATTACGTGGGACCCGTACCTCCAAAGCAGGTAACATTTGCCAAGCTGAACGACAACATACGAGAGGGGTTTCTTTTGGACATGTGCAAGAAGTATGGCGAGGTTGAAGAAGTGGAAATTCTTTACAACCCTAAGAACAAGAAGCACCTAGGGATCGCGAAGGTGGTGTTCGCCACAGTGAAGGGAGCCAAGGATACAGTGCAGCACCTTCACAACACTTCCGTTATGGGAAACATCATCCATGTCCAACTCGATACCAAAGGTGCAATAAAGTTACTTTTTAATCAATTCGGTTCTCTCCGACTGTGCATGTTTTTCGGATTTAAAGTCGTGCTGGTTTCACCATCCGAGATTAATGCAAATATGTAATATTGACTCATTTTAACGCCGATTCTGAGTCACGTGTGCACACAAATGTAGCTTGTTTAATGTTGCTAGGAAACAGAGGGATTGCTGTCGTTTGTAAAATCCTCCCAATCGGTATACTTTGTGAGTCCTGGTGCAGTGTGTTAATGGGCCTTGAGAATCGCGGGGCTATCTTTCAGATTAAGTTTGTGAAGTTGACGCCGGTGTTGAAAAATCCCACAGTCACGTGTAGTTCTGATCAATATGTTAATTCCATGTTGTGTCGGGAGGGAGTGCTGCTTGTATCCAATCGGTGGGATATATTTACGAAGACCTGTGTCATTTTAAAACTGATTCAGACTCCGCAGTCATCATAATCCTGCCATTCTGTAGGTGAACATCGGATGAGATACTACGAGCTACTGGTCAGTGGTTACTTTACCCCCCAGACTCTTCCTGTCGGTACCGATGCTTATTTGGACGCCTCTCCTATAATAAATAGTGAATTTGGACAGGTATGGACAGTTTCATTACACATTAAATATACTGTGGCACTCGATTGCTTTATGGTGCAATGAGGAAATGTTTCATTGACTCTCTTTTTTCCCCTGCATTTGTTTACCAGTGAATGGCTCGTTATTAGAAGACGAGCTAGCTCCGCTGATAGTCATGTGGGATTGGTATGAATGAATCTCTGCACACGCCAGGTTCGCTGGTGTTGTTAAAAGGCTGCCTAGTAAAAGTTGCGTGTCTGTCGAGCTCTTTAATAAGTGACAGCAGATTAACTAACAGGAAGCGAGGTAGTTGTTGCAGGGAGACGACTTGCGGCTTGTATCATAAATTTAATAACAAATATTTCAGATTGGGAAGTTTGGGCTGAAGCAGGTGGACATTTATGCTATGCAAATTATTTCAATATTAATCTTTCTTGAGGTGGAAACGTTCTATATTCTTGTTCGGTTTCAAATAATATCGCTGTAAAAAAATTTTAAGCAACAACCTCCTGTAGCTTTTTTGGATTAAGGTGTTTCTGTTTCTTATTACTGTAACAATTGGCTTTTTTCTAAGATGTTAGAAATCATCCATGTTTTGGTAAACACATTTTTTATGAACCCTAGTGCCTGGTAAATTACATCTCTAGTCTATGGTTATTAAGTTAATTTGATGTAGCCATGAATACATATTTTGTTTCTTAATTAATTTACAGGGTGTCATTGAAGCAAACTTTTACACTCTTCCAAACTGATTGCATAGTGTGGTATTTCTGGAGCACGTCAGAGCCATGCTATAAAGTTGTCTTCTTTCCTTGCCATCATGCAGAGATTCACTGTCATTCTTTCTGACAAAAATATATGAAAAGGCCAGAAGGCTGTAGGGAATAAGGCAACAAAGGGAAAAAAAAATTCAAAAATTTCTTTTAAAGTCCCTTTTTGACCTGTTGAGTCTGATTTTATTAGTGGGGAAAGAAGTGTTTTTCACTTGGTGTCAACAAATCGCCTGTGTAATATTCGGCAATTTAGTTGCAGTTTTAACTACCAAATTTATATAACTTGGAGCCATTAAATGATCTTTACACAGTAAGGATTGAAACATTTTTTAAACTAATTAGCCTTCGATATTTTTTAGTATTTCCCAGTTTATTAATGCTTTCAAAATTTGTCGCTCAAGAAAACTCTCTTGCCCAAGCATGTTAATCTTTCCCTGTTCTTTATCTCATATGGGATGCCCTAGTCACCAGTCCATAAGGCTTGGGAGTGTATGTAAGAACTGGCCAGAGCAGTCTCTGCTTGATATTTCTTTTCCTTGATGTTTTGGGAACTGCCTAAGTAGGGACCTCCAAAAAACATGAGTGCAGTTTCAAATTTCATTTTCTCCAATTGTAGCCAGTTAATAGAAACTTACTGTGGGGGAATTCTCACTGTCACCTTTTCTCTATTGCTCTAGGTTAATCTGGTAATGTGTCTGGTCACTAGTCTGCACTAACATTTAGCTTACATTTTAACTAAATTGGAGAGCTGCTTGCTTGATGAGCTAAGAAGTATTGAATGATGGTACTCAATCTCTTAAGAATTAAAACTATTATAAGTGATTTTGTGTTTCTCCAATCGTAATATAAAATCTTGAAATGATACACTCCCAGAATGGTCAGGAGAAGCAGACTAAATCTCAGAAACTGACTTCTTTAACAAACTGCTCAGAAATGTTGTATTTTTTCATTCAACGAATGCATTTTTTTCCACTAGGTTCTGGTAACAACTCTACCTATTGGACTATCTCATAAGTTTATTGTTGTGAAAATGGAATGTAGTCAAAGAATACTCAAAGTCTTGTACCATTTCATTACAAGTTATAACTGTGAACAAAGCATAGACAATTTAAAGTTTTGATGTGGTACCTATGAATAAAGTGTCATGATGACTCCAATTTGCATTGTTTATCAATCCCCTGACAAAAAAGGTTCCTTATGATTCCAGTGTCAAGAATAGCTGAATGAACCTGAAAAAGTATTTAGTGTTCAAAATAATATATCTATTTCTACTTATGTAGTTTGAAAAGTTTGTGAAGTTATCCATCCATTCAAAGTTGCAGTCACAATGCCTTCTAATCATAGTTGTAGGATATTTTGCTTGTTTTTTTAAAATATTGTGTGTTCACATTATCACCTGATGACCATTGAGATGAACAGACCAAAAAAAATTTGTAGGCCTGAACCCTAATGTTGGTTGATTTTTTTTTGCTGAACTTGAACATATTGGCTCTCTGTGCGACAATTGACTTTATTCAGGTGAACTAGGCAGAAAATTAGCTACACCTGATTGCTTTCAATGACTCACCCTGTCTAAAAGTATAAATTTGGATGTTGGTTGACAAAAAAAAATTTGGTTAGGTTTGATCATAGTCGAATTAACTACCAGTGATGACAGTGCTGGCTCATGCATGGATAATTACCAGGTGGACTAGGTACCGGTGAGCTGCTGGGAATCATGGAATTTTACTTCAATTCAAATGTTAGCTTTTTAGAAAGGGGACAAGGAAGGGAAAAGCATTAACAAATTAAAAAACAGTGTATTTTGTGTGCATTTGTTATGTCATTCCATTATGCATTTTATTATCTTTTTTGTATTTATTTATTTCAATCCAGGAGCTTTATTTTTATGAACGATTTAAAACAAAATATATGAATATGTTTCTAATTTGAGTAGTTTACTGTTGAATGTAGCCTTTAAAGCCTATTGAGGCAAACACTATTAATTTCTTTATCTACAGTATATGTTTTGAGTATAATATTTGATTTATAAAAAGACATTAAATATATAAACACATGCATAAGTTTAAACCATCACAGCACATAGGTGTATTTTCCTTGTGCAGTCAAAATGTTTAGTTTTAAAATGAATTGAAAATATTGCTCAGTATAACTACGGTAATGGTAAAAGTATTCCTCTGATGTGTTTGTGTTCATTGTAACTTTTTAACAATCAAATTAGTAAAATGTGACCAAAATGTAATTTAATTATATTGTGTTTAACTAATATGGAGTAATATCTATTATCTCTCCATCTTAAAGATTCATTTACACTTTTGTTTTGCCCCTTTCCTATAATAAAAACAGGATTACAACTTCACTAACTCCAGGAATACAGCTGATGAAAGTGTCACTTTGACCAATATATTGAAATGTTTATGAAATGATTGCTTCCAAATTATTTACTCTGTTTTATTTTTGGTAAAATCAGTAGTCTATTTTTAATTTTTAAGACCTCTGTGCTGCCTCTTTAGAATTGCACGGTTGGGATCATTTACTAACTGGGTCATAGGGGCACATTGTGCAGCTAGTGACAGAACATCAGTGTATATTAGATAACGAGGTGTAGAGCTGGATGAACCAAGCAGCATCAGAGGAGCAGGAAAGCTGACATTTCGGCCCTAGACCCTTCTTCAGAAATGGGGGAGGGGAAGGGTGTTCAGAAATAAATAGGAGAGAGGGGAAGGCGGATAGAAGATGGATAGAGGAGAAGATAGGTGGAGAGGAGACAGACAGGTCAAAGAGGTGCAGGGATGGGGACAGTAAAGGTGGGTGTAGGTGGGGAGTTAGGGAGGGGATAGGTCAGTCCAGGGAGGATGGACAGGTCAAGGGGGTGGGATGAGGCTAGTAGTTAGGAAATGGGAGTGGGGCTTGAGGTGGGAGGAGGGAATATGTGGGAGGAAGGACAAGTTAGGGAGGCGGGGACGAGCTGGGCTGGTTTTGGGATGCGGTAGGGGGAGGGGAGATTTTGAAGCTTGTGAAGTCCACATTGATACCATTGGGCTGCAGGGTTCCCAAGCAGAATATGAGGTGCTGTTCCTGCAACCTTCGGGTGGCATCGTTGTGGCACTGCAGGATGCCAGGATGGACATGTCGTCTGAAGAATGGGAGGGGGAGTTGAAATGGGTCACGACTGGGAGGTGCAGTTGCTTAGTGTGGACCGAGCGTAGGTGTTCTGCAAAGCGATCCCCAGGCTTCTGCTTGGTTTCCCCGATGTAGAGGAGGCCACAACGGGAACAGTGGATACAGTATACCACATTAGCAGACGTGCAGGTGAACATCTGCTTGATGTGGAAAGTCTTCTTGGGGCCTGGGATGTGGGTGAGGCAGGAGGTGTAGGGACAAGTGTAGCACTTCCTGCGGTTGCAGGGAAAAGTGCCGGGCGTGGTGGGGCTGGAGGGGAGTGTGGAGTGGACAAGGGAGTCCCGGAGAGAGTGGTCCCTCCGGAAAGCAGATAAGGATGGGGAGGGAAAAATGTCTTTGGTGATGGGGTTGGATTGCAGATGGCGGAAGTGGCGGAGGATGATGCGTTGGATCCGGAGGTTGGTGGGGTGGTACGTGAGGACGAGGGGGATTCTGTTTTGGTTGTTATTGCGGGGAGGGGGTGTGAGGGATGAGATGCGGGAGACACGGTTGAGGGCGTTCTGGACCACTGAGGCGGGGGGACGTTGCGGTCCTTGAAAAACGAGGACATCTGACATGTTCGGGAATGGATTGCCGCATCCTGGGAGCAGATGCGGCGGAGGCGAAGGAATTGGGAATAGGGGATGGCATTTTTGCAGGAAGGTGGGTGGGAGGAGGTGTATTCTAGGTAGCTGTGGGAGTCGGTGGGCTTGAAATTGATATCGGTTTCCAGGTGGTTGCCAGAGATGGAAACAGAGGTCCAGGAAGGAGAGAGAGGTATCAGAGATGGTCCAGGTGAACTTAAGGTTGGGGTGGAAGGTGTTGGTGAAGTGGATGAACTGTTCGAGCTCCTTGTGGGAGCACGAGGCGGCACCGATACAGGTGGAAGAGGTGGGGTTTAGGGCCAGTGTAGCTTCGGAAGAGGGATTGTTCCATGTAACCTACAAAGAGGCAGGCATAGCTTGGGCCCATGCGGGTACCCATGGCCACCCCCTTTGTAGGAAGTGGGAGGAATTGAAAGAGAATTTAGGGCCAGTGTAGCAATGTATATTGTTCAAATACCCTTTTTTTTTAATATTGAGATTTTTTTGTTTTAAATTCCCAAGTTAAATAGATATATATATCTGCATGTATGAATATGCAGAAGCACAATCTATTAATCAATGATATATTTAAATAGCCTTTAAGGAAAATGTGAGTAGAGTGAGATTGGATCACTAACAATCAAACGTAGATGACAAACTGAACTTTCCTGTGAATGTGTAATTTGAAGGGGAATTTGTAGGTGGTTGAGATTCCCAGGTGTTTGTTACCTTTCTCCTAGGTGGTTGAGGATTTAAAAGTGCTGTCAAAGCTTTATTAAATGTAGGAGCAATTATGATATTAAAAATTTGGGTTGATTGTGATTTGCAATATAGTAATTAAAATAACAAGTATTTTTTGGTGCGGTATCTTTCTGAATGTAGTATTGTTATTTATTGAAAATTGATTCCTGGGTACTGAAGCCTGCAGTAAAGTTCAGCTCTTCATCTTTGTTCCGGGGGTCAGGATGAAGATGAGCTGTGATAACTCCTAGGATTAAATAACTTAGTCAGTACTCTGTATTTGCTCACAACTTGAAGAAACATCTCTTGGGTGAGATGGTGTATTTGATACTGTAATCCGGAGAAATGAGGGGAAATAACTGCTTTTAAAAACCTCAACATTGAATTAATAGACAAAATTTGGTTCTTTTTACAAAGTGTATTGAGAGTATTTCATTTCTGGCTTAACTGTTAATTGTAATGGGAAGTCTTCTAAAATTGGTCTTGCATAGACAAATTTGGATGTTTAACGTCAATTATTAAATGTGAAGTATTTATTTCTGGGGTTTTGCATTAACTGCCAATGTAGCCACATTTTAAAACTTGTTTTGCTATTTTCATTTTAAATAAAGCTTCTTATTTCACATTATTATACAGTAACAAAATTTAACACTATTTTAGAATTGAATAACAATATTCATGTTTCAATTTTAAGATACATGCTACTGAACTTTTGTCGACAGTTAATTTAACTGAAGGTATTTTTAAACAGTACTTTTCCTTTGATTTGGATTATGTTAAAATCTGAAATTGTTATAAAGTAGAAAAAAGGTTCATGTTAGCTTTCTGTTTTTCACACCACTCTTATGAATTAAACCATATAAATGAATCTAGTAGAGTTAATATATTGACTATTTCACTACAATGTTGGCAAACAACATAGTATACGCATTCATACAGTTCTGAAACACATACCTGAAAATATACTTTCAGACAAAATGCAGTGGTTAAAAATGAGTTTGCAGTTTTCTGCATCTCAACCAGGCTAATGTGGAGAAAGGGCAGTGAACAGTGTGAATCGGTCCACTGGAGTCTGTTAGTTATAGGGGATAAGCAGGGATGTGGAGTAGAGGCCACAATCAGTTCAGCTGTGATGTTGACTCATAGAGCAGGCTAGAGGGTCAGAATGGCCTATTCCCACCCCTAATATGTTTGTAAGTCAAGATGGCTGAACAGCATAGAAGAGGGCTTTATCTTTCCGTTTATTTCCATGCCCAATGCATTGTCCAGCAGCAAAACTATAAATGAGGTAGCCTTGGCAATGTGAATGCAACAGTGGACTATAAATGTGACAGAAGTTATGAAAATAAGTTAACGAAACACTAAATATTTCATGCCAGTGACAATGGTGCTTCCCATGAGTATGATGCCGCAAGTGTAAGGATATGTCTTTGGTGCTATCTGGTATATTTTCCCGCATTTTTATCTGAAGTAAACACTACAACAGGAGATTCCATTCCTCGGAACAGAGCGTCAGAAGACGTGCCAGTGGAAGTAGCTGTACACCTAAGGGCCAGCTGTGGACTGACAAGCCAAGGCCTGGGAGGCACCCTTCACTGTAGTGATAAAGCTGATTAACTGATTCAGCTAATTTCGCAAACGAGCTGCATTCCTAATTTATAAGTTGAATTTATACCTACAATGTTAAGTTCCTCTTTGCTGAAAGTTTAGTTGACTTAATCAATGTTATTTCTGTTCTGCCATTAGGCGATGTTAAGAATGCAGTGTTTTAAAACTGTTTTAGATGGTGCAGAAAATTAGAGCTATCTTTAATTGTGTAGAATTTCATTTGGATAAAATGTCTTTTCTTTTTCTCCCCCACCTATTGCTACAGGTTAATGATCCACAGAAATCTCGAACTGGTGAAAATTACCTATCCATGGGACCATCTGTAACCCCAAATAGTAGTACCCCATTTTCCCATGACACTGCTTATTCTAGTTGTCGTCAGGATACACCAAATTCATACAGCCAATATACGCCACAATCCTCCCAAGGCACACCACATACACCAAGGTTGGGAACCCCCTATTCGCAAGATTCCAGCTATTCCAGTCGACAGAGTACACCAGCTTATTCTTATTCACAAGAATCTGGGTACAAATCCAGAAGACCTGAATCTAATTATCAAGATTCCTTCAGGAGAGTGGGTCACCATTATTCGCACAACACAGGATCTTACAGAGGTACAGAACTACCAGTTAACACCTACAAGTCAACTCGTTCAGAGGGTGGGTCATATTCACATAACACTGCAGTAAACCAGTCTGGGATAAACTACCAGTCAGCCTTTTCTCCGTACCAAAATGTGCATTCTGCCCAACCACTGTATTCCCGTCCACTGGAGCAACAACACAGTCAGACATCTAGGGACCATGATTACAGAAGACCTGTGCCACCGTCTGAAACCTTTGGGCATAATAATGCCAGTTTGGATGTTGCTCCTGTGAAGGAGAAGGCAGAAGATCCAGTTTCTCTGGAGAGTAACATCTCAAATGATAAAACAGCTGTTTCATTCAGCAAATCTCCTGAAAGGGCTGAGACTCCTGAAACTCTCATGTCTGAAACACCGAGTAGCTCAACACAACCCAACAGTTTAGATTCTCGTATTGAAATGCTTTTGAAGGAGCAGAGGACAAAGCTTCCTTTCTTTGACCAAGAATCTGATGTTGACATTAAATTGGAGCACAGTCCCATATCCTCCTCTTCCTCTCAGCTTTCTCCATTACCACTTCCTGGGTCAACTACTCACTTGCTTCAGCGAGGTCCTACTCCATCATCGCGTCCTTCTAGCACGGGCCTAGAAGATGTTAGTCCAACTCCTCTACCGGATTCAGATGACGACGATCCTCCTTCTGAAACTGTTCAACAAAATCAAAGCTCAAGATCGGCATCAGAGGCTAGCATGACACCTGTTGATCAGTCTAGTCAGATGAGCAGATTTTCCACATCTTCAGATGGTAGGACTCCTGCATCTAAAGCAGAGAGCTGTGAGGCAAACAAAGAAGCTGCTGAACCGACACCACCACCTGATGCACTGGAAGAAGTAAGTAAAATCATTTAAATACCTAAAGATTGCACTGTAATTTAGAAACACTACGACTGAATGGAAAAAAAATCTCTCACCAGATTCCTGAGATTCTTTGTTTGCATTGAACTACTTGTCTTTTTTGGGGGGTGGAATGCAGTCAGTAGCTGGAATTTGACTCTATTTATCTATCTGCTTCAATTGATGTGCTAATCAGGACACTTTTTAGTAGCCATACTTAAAATTTCATTTCATTATTTTTGCTATTTTCTAATTGGGTTTCTGGTAAGACTGGTTGGAGCCAACATTAAATTATGTTAAAGGAACTATATTACATATAAGATGATCTAAGGTCCTTCAAGGACATTATAAAACACAATATGACATTGAACCACGTAAGGAGATGTTGGGTTTGGTGACCAAAGGTTGGTCAAAAATGTAGGTTTTAAGAGATGCCTTAATGGAGAAAGGTGAAGTGGAGGGATATAGAATGGGATTTCAGGGTTTAGTACATAGGCACCTAATGACATGGCCAGCATGATGAAATCATTAAAAGTGAGGATTGTTGAGCAACAAGAATAAGAGGATCTGTCTCAGCTGGTTTGGGGCTGGCAGATTGCAGACATAGGGATGGGTGATCCATTGGAAGGATTTGAAAACAAGATGACGATTTTTAAAATCAAAACATTGTTTGACTGGAAGCTTCTGTAGGTCACTGAATATGAGGATGATAGATGAATGTGACTTGGTGCAAGTTAAGGCACTGGGAGCAGTCTTTGGATGACCTCAAGTTTTACTGAGAGTAAAGTATAAAGTGTAGGAGTGCACTGGAATAGTCAAAAGTTAGAAGTAATGAAGATATGAATGACATTTTCTGGTTTACTTACATGGTCTTAATATAAATTGTCCTTACTCATAGAATTTCTGGTCAAATATTATAGTTTGGAGTTGTGCATCAGATACTGATACATCTCATTCATTGAGAAGTAGTGTGGCAGTGTAGGTCTAAAGCTTCATTAAATTAGTCTGAGGTGTAAGAGGTGAGAAAAACATGTTGGGCACATGATGCAAACATTTATACCAATACAATGGATGTGTATTTTTAAAGAGTGTATAAACAATGACCACTTTATGAATACATGAAGGAATAAAGTTATAGTATTGAAGCTGGTTAAAGACACAACCATTCTATTCAATTTTGTAATTAACCAGTATTTGGCTTATTTCATAGGATCTAATATGTTTAAAGTGATCATAGACTCTTCATATGACCCAAGATCATATGGCTCATTATAGGAACATATGACCAAGGAACAAGTGTAGTCACTCTGCCCTTCACGCCTGTTCCATGATTCAGTAAGACCATAGCTGATCTGATTTCAACCTCAACTCTGCTTCTATGTATCCCTGATAATCTTTCATTGCCTCGATAATCAAGGATCTATCTACCTCTGCCTTAAAAGTATTTAAATATTTATTATGGTTGTGTCAACTCCAAAAGCACGATTCAATTGGTCTTACTTCCCCACTCAGTCTGTATAGTCTAATGGTTATTTTTTTCTGTTCCAGGTATATTAAATTCCTTTTAGAAAATCACTGTTGAACCATTAACTGTCATCTTCTTAGGCACTGCAGTTCATATTGTGACATGCTAAAAAAATTCTTTCTGTCTCCCCTCACAAGCAATATTAAGTGAATATGGATCTTTTTAAACTATAGTGTTATGAATTCCATTTTGCTTTCTCTTTCCCTCCAAGAGTTATCTTACAAAATCTTTTAGATTCATGCACTTTTTTTCTGGGGCTAACTCAGAGGCATGTCTTGGTTCTTTGGAAAGCGCTTCAATTTTTCTTCGGTATCCCAGCTATTCACCAAGGTATCAATAAGCCCACCTGCCTCCAACTTGCTCGAGAGGTGTGTAGTAATATCTCTGAACAGATTGGTTAGAAAATATCTACCTTTCTATGATCCCCAAGCTGTGTATGTTTCTTTAGATGAAGTAGACCAATGCTTTTCACAACTAACTATCATTTCCTGAGACTTGTGATTAATCATTCAAGCCAGACATCCTAAGATCCCATTTATTTCACCAGCTGTGCAGATTGTGCTGATAGTTTCGGGGAGTTTTCTAAAACCCCAGGACTATGCAGCTGTCTTGTTTAATTCATATTGCCCACAGTTTCCATTCCCAACTTTATAAATATTTTATTTTTATTAAATTGCATCTCTCACCTTTTTGGCAAAGTTTCCCACTGAGTCCAGATTCCTCTTGACCTGCATCTAATGGTTCTAAAAATAGGGAGCACAAGTGAAAGTGAATGCACTGATTATGGTTTTCCAAAATTCTCAAGATTCTTAAGTGGTCTTTGTGGATTGGAAGTAAATTTTTTCAAGAAAGGAAGAAAACGATGGTACAGTTAGCCTGACATCAGTCATTAGGAAAATGCTGGAACCTATAATTAAGGAAACCTTAACAATGCACTTTGACTGAACATAACCATGATTTTTTCAGTCAACATAGTTTTACAAAAATAATTATGTTTGACAATTTTGCTGGAGTTCTTTGAGGATCTAATAAGTTAGATAAAGGGGAACTAGTAGATTTCCACCGAGCATCCCATAAATGCCTCACAAAAAGTAATATCCATAATGGAGTTGGGAGTTTATTTTAGCATGGAGAGAAGATTAGCTAACAGACAGGAAGCAGAGAGTTTGGACAAATGCAGGATTTTCACATTGCCAGGTTCTAACTAGTGGATGTCCCAAGAATCTGTGCTGGGACCTCTGCTATTGACAAACTATGTTAATGACTTAGATGAAGAAGCAGTGAATAACATCTGAGGTTGCTAACAATATTAAGGTAGTCGGGGACATTGGCTTTAAAGCGGACACATGGAGGCTGTAAAGAAATATGGACTAGTTAAGTGAGTGGGCAACAAAGTGGCTGATGAAGCTTAATTTGGGTATTTGGAGATTTTCGCCACAAAAATGAATAGAAAAGTGGGATTTTTCTTAACAAGGTAGAAACCTTTAAATGTCGATGTTTGGAGAGACTTTGATTCCTTACACAAGGAGCACTCAAGTTAGCATGCAAATACAACGAGCAATCAGAAAGCAAGCGGCATGTTGGAGTTTGTTGGAAAAGATCTTAAATACAAAATAAAGAAGTCTTTCTACAACTGTGCAGGGCTTTGATGAGATTGCATCTGGAGTACTATTTGCAGTTCTGGTCTGCATACCTAAGGACGAATATATCCAAGAAAGGCCTTTTGAGATGACACAGCGAAGAACAACTAGATCGGTTTCTTGAACAAGAGGGTTTGCCTACTATGAGATCCATCAATGATGGGCCTATATTCTCGAAGGATTAGCAAAGGAATATAAAACATGAGTGGAATAGGCTCAGGATAAAAGGTTGATTCTTTGGGACTGAGATGAGAAGAAATTCCTTCAGTCAGAGGGGTTGTGAATCTTTGTTTAGCCCAGAATGTTATGGATGCTCCATAATGGAGTATATTCAAGACAGATTGATAGATTTTTGATTTCTTGGGGGTCTAGGCTTGTGGGGAGTAGGCAGGGAAGTGGAGATGTGGCGGAAGATCAATTGCAATCCTGGTGGTGCAGAATGATGGTCTGCTCCTATTTTTCATGTCTTTATGCTCTCTGCTATTGGTGCATGTTTTTTTACTAGTTCATTTCAAATTGTCACTTTTGTGAGTGTGGGGAACTTTTTTACTTTCCCTATTTCCATATGACTAATGTACTGAAACATATAATGTCTCTAGAACCCAAATGTGGTACTTTGCTTGTCCTTCCTTTCTATGAAGATATACTGCTCCCTTAACTATTGTTTGCATCTTCTAACACAGCCACTTAGTTATCAACTTTAAAATAGTAAGTCATATTTCATGCCTTTCTACATTGTCAAATAATCTTCTGTGTAGTAGTACGTCAAAGGCTATACTAAAGGGAAGAAATATCAAATCTTCTGAACTGACGCAATTCTATATTCAACAAAACCCATGAATCCATGTTGACTGTTGCTTTTAATCATTTTATATTTCACATTTTGTCCTTTTCAAATACTCTGTTGTTTCCCCAGATGTGAATGCTAGACTTGCACAAGCATAGACCTCTTGAATTTTCAATTTTCTCTTTTATAAATTGGTGCTGGATTTAACTTGCTCTGCTTCCTTGGTGTATTTGGTGAACCCTTTCAAATATTCATCAAAATATGATCAGTTTCATATGCCCATTATTTTGAGATAGTTTGAAATCCATCAGATCAGGCCTTTGATCCCTTTCAGTGCAGTCTGTCCAACTTTTTGTGGATAATTTTCTAATTTTCTCTTCGTCTTTTTAAATAGTGTACTGCAATACATTTCATGAAAGTAAAACCATCGATAAGGTGATCCACCACTCTTTATTTATTCGTTATCATATCTTTCCAAGACTCATTCAGGATTTGAGTTTTCTCTTTATCTCATTTGATTTTCTTAACATATTTCTTGCCTTTATTTTCTCTCCTCCGTTTTTTGCCTCCCACCTCCAACTCCTGTTCTTTTGAGAAGGTATTTTTCCTCCAGGTAAACCATCTTGTCAAATCTTAATTCGGTGGAGGAGGAGCTGTTTTGGACTTAAGCCTGTTATTATCTGCCTGCCCTGTTGATACCTAACTGTACTGTGGTGGGTGTAATGGACTCCCAGTCAACCTCAACAAGATTGTGTGCAGGACTTTCTGTATTTTTTCGTCTTAGTTAATTGTGATAATATATTTGGGTTCCTGATGGTGAATGACTATACAAGTCACTTCACCTTGAATTCTTCAGCAAGCCTTTTGGTTTACTTTCTTGACAATTGTGTAAAAAGTAACCATCCAACTGTAAGCCGACTTTCCTTTAACTGTATCTTCTGTGCTTTTTTTATTAAATTAGAAATGTAAAAAAGTTGAAGAAGACAGAAAAGCAAATGCTGAAATTACTCATAGTTTTTGCAGCTATCTGTGCACCCAAACCTTG